TGCATCCTCCATCAATAAAACCCATTCTTATGCTTATTACAAATCCTTCCTCCCTAAGCCTTTACACTGAATATTGCTTATCAGTCAACAGAACTCATTCTTACTGTAAAGGTCACAAGTGCTTTGCTAATTTGCAAGGAAGTTTTGATGTAGCCATTTCTGAAGCTTAGCTGTGATCACTGTCACGTGGAGACCTCTTGCCAAAGTTTTACTGTTATAATGTGTAAGGAAAATAAAACGAGGTCAAACTCTTGAGAGTTTTGGTCCAGCACCTGCTAAAATGATGCTGACCAAATTTCATTCTTCACCTAGCTTAGATCATTTCCCTGCCAGCCATGACACTTGCAGGGACACCAACGAGCCAGACTACACAGAACCTATCTCAAACAAACAAACAAACAAACAAACAAAAATATATATATGTGGAAAAGTTAATGAAATTCAAACAAGTCTACAGTATATTTAGTAATATTGTGCTTCCTAGGCACAGCAGCAAATGCCTATAATCCCAGCACTTGGGAGGTGGAGAAGGACCAGGAGTTCAAGGTCCTTCAGCTACATAGTAAGTTTAAGGCCAGCCTGGGCTATAAAAGAGCATAAGACTCTATCTCACCAAAAAAAATGAAAAAGAAAGAAACAAAGACAAGAAAGGAAGGCAGGACAGATATGATCATTTGTGTCTAAGATCTCAGATGATCAAGAGGATAACCATGAGTTCGAGGCCAGCCAGAACTAGAGTAAAATTCTATTTAAAAAAGGAGGAGGAGGAGGAGGAGGAAGAAGAGGAGAAGGCGGAGGCACTGGAGAGATGGATCGGTGGTTAAGAGCATTCGCTCCTATTGCAGAGGACCTGGGTCCAATGCCCAACACATACATGGCAACTCCCAACCACCTGTAATTCCCTGTAGCTTCTGTGGGCACCAGGCATGCACATGATGCACATACTCACAGGTATGCAAACACTCATATCCAAAGTAAACAACAATCTAAAAAACAAATTCACACAGCAAAGGACATCATCAAGAGAATGAAAAGACAGTCCAGCAGTGGCACACACCTCTAATCAGCAGACAGAGGCAAGTGGAGCTCTGAGTGGAGAACAGCCTGGGGCTACACAGAGAAACCCTGTCTCACTAAAAACAAAAAACAAAAAAACAAAACAAAACAGAGAGAAGGAGGAAAGGAGGGAAGACACACCACAGACTAAAAGATATGCAAAAGTTAGGATAATTAAAAAAAAAAAAAGCCAGGTGTGTGGTGATATTTTATTTGTGCTCTAACAAATAAAGCTTGCCTGGGGATCAGAGAAAAAAGCCAGCCACTATATTAAACACAGATGCCAGGCAATGGTAGCACATGCCTTTCATCTAACATTTGGGAGGCAGAAATTCATCCAGATCTCTGTGAGTCCAAGGCCACATTGGGAACAGAGCCAGGTCCGTGGTGGTACACACCTTTAATCCCAGCACTAGTTAACCATAGAGGTCTGTAGTCTGTACAGACAGACAGGAAGTGATGTAGCTTGGTGGAGAGAGGAAGTAAGATGGCAGGGCACAAAAAGGATATAGGAGTGAGTATACAGGAAGTAGCTCACTTGGGCTGAAGATTTCCTAGTGGTAAGAACTTGTGGCTGGCTTATTCTATCCCTCTAATCTTTCAGCTTTTACCCCAACATCTGGCTCCATGTTTTTTATTAATAAAACCATTTAGCAATTTGTGTTACATAGGCAAGGTGGCATACATATTTAATCCCAGCACTCAGGAGATGGGGTGGGGAGGTGTGGGTGGGGGGGTGTCTGTGAATACAAAGCCAGCCTGGTCAACCTTGCAAGTTCCAGGTTAGTCAAAGACATAGTAAATCCCGTCTCAAAAAAAAAAAAAAAAATCCAAAACTATAATATTCTACTGCTGTTAACATTATATTATCATTTGCACTAAGCTTTCTGGTTGCTGTGACCAAATATCCTGAGAGATCGAGGCCAGCCTGGTCTACAGAACAAGTTCCAGGACAGGTTCCAAAGCTAACAGAGAAACCCTGTCTCGAAAAACAAAACAAAAACAAAAAACACCTGAGAAACAGGGAGAGAAGACATACTTGCCTCACAGTCTCAGATGTTTCAGTCCATGGTAGACTAGTTCTGTATTTCTGGGCTGGTGGGGATGCAAAGAGCCCTTCAACTAATGCAGCAAGGAAGCAGAACAAGAATATGCCTGAAGCAGTTGGCTTCCAGTCTCTGCTTTTATTCCACCTAGGCTTGCAGTCTGTGAAGCGGTGCTACCACACTCAGGGAGTCTCTATTCCTTAGTTAATCCTCCTTAGGAATACCTTCATGGACACAACAAAAATAGTGCCTTGCTAATTTCCTAAGGACTGCTTTTTTCCTTTTTCACTGTGAGCGTGTCTGTATGTGTGCAGGTGCCCACAGAGGTCAGAAGTCAGCCACTGGACTCCTTGGGGCTGCTGGAATTACAAACATTTGTGAACTGTCTGATAAGGGTACTGCAGTCTTAATTCTGGTCCTCCAATAAAGCATGGGCACTCTTATTAACCAACCTCTGAGCCATCACTCCAGCTCCTCCTAGACACTTATTAATCCAAATTAGTTGGTGATCAAGATTAACCAGGATGAGCTGAAGGGATGGCTCAGTGATTAAGAGCACTTGCTGTTCTTCCAGAGGACCTGAGTACAACTCCTAGCACCCACATCAGCTCCAGTTCCAGGGCACCCATTGCCCTTTTCTGGCCTCCACTGGCACCTGTACTCATGTGTGTATATCCATACACACACACACAAACACAAATTTTTTAAAAATTAAAAATAAAGAACCATTTACCAGTCCATAAGTCAGTATAGTCACCCTGGGGGCTCAGGACTAGAAAGAGCTACTACAAGGTACTACTCATTATCTGTTTCTGGTTGGGGACAGGCAGATATATTGAGTGAAATTTCATCAAATGGTATGATTATTACATGTACAATTTTTAAATATGTCACATTTCCCTAAAAGATTTTTTAAACTATTTACTTTTATTTTATGTGTACTGGAATTTTGCCTGCATGTGTATAGTGCCAGCAGAGGCCAAAAGAGTACATCCAATCCTCTAACTAGAACTGTCTAGAGTTGTTAGTGATTGTATTGGTGCTGGGACTTGAACCCTGGTCATCTTGGAAGAGCACAAGTGCTTTTTAACCACTAAACCATCTCTCCAGCCCATTAATTTTTAGAGTTCTTTTACTTTATTTTACGCATGTATGTATATGCACCGTGTGCTTGCGTCGGAGGCCAGATGAGGGTGTCAGATCCCAGGGAACTGGAGTTGCAGGCAGTTGTGAGCTGCCATGTTGGTGCTGGGAACTGAACCTGGGTCTTCTCCAAGAACAGTAAGTGCTCTTAACCATTGAACCATTTCTCTAGCCCTCCACCTCAAGTATTTTTAAAATGGCTTCACCTCTGGGAATAAAGATAAGAGAAAAATGTAAAAGTTCTTCCAATGTAAAGCAGTCAAATGCTACTATATCAAGTCAAAAAGGCAAACCCAGGACAGTAGGCCCAAGGGAGTCCCGAAAGTAAACCTAGCCTACTACTCTCCTCATTTTGGACACTAGGTCACCTATCTTTCTGTTTGTTTATTTCTCTTTGTTTATTCGAGATAGGCTTTCTCTGTGCAGCCCTGGCTGTCCTGAAACTCACTCTGTAGACCAGGATGGATTCAAACTCAGAGATCCTCCCGCCTCTGCCTCCGAGTGCTGGGATCAAAGGCATGTACCACCACGCCCAGCTTAAATCTCTTATCTTTTTAAAGAGTACCTAACTGGAGAGCTATCCAACTCAAATGAGATCCACAATTTGTAAAGATGATGGCTAATACTATCAAAGTGACAGGATCTAGCATCCTAAAGAGACAAGGCTCTGGATAGATCTATGAAGAACTGTCTAGATAAGGTTGACTGGGGCACCCACCAGAACTGGGCAGCACCCTGGGCTGGGGTCCCAGCCTGTATAAAAAGTAGAATGCTATGGGACTGCTAGCTGTCATCCCTCGCTCCTTCATGACTGCAGCTGCTTCAAGCTCTGGCTGCCATGACTTCCCTACCACAATGCACTGTACCTCAAATAGGAATTCGAAGTACACCCTTCCTGGAGCTGGAAAGTGCCTCAGTGGTTAAGGGGGCTTGCTGCTCTTCGAGAGGAAAATAAGTACCTAGCACCCACATTGGGGGGCTCATACCTGCCTACAACTCCAGTTCCAGGAGATCCAACACTCCTCCAGCCTCTACACACGGCAGAAACACACGCACATACATACATACATACGCATAAGTTAAGAACGAAATTCATCATTTTAAAAATAAAAATCAACCTTCCCCTCCTCAGCTGCCTTTGTCAGCTATTTCATCATGACAGTGAGAAAGGTAACTAAGACAGTGTGAACCACAGAGTACAGACTGGAGCTGGGCACGGGACTCACGCCTGCAATCCCAGCACTCAGGACGAAGAGGTGGACAGAGCTCTGTGGGTCTGAGGCCAGCCTGGGCTACATAGTGAGACCCTATCTCAAAAGAAAAAAAAAAGAGAGAGAGAAAAAGAAAGGAAGAAAGAAAAAGAGAAAGGAGGCTTCTAATTTTAGACATAAATACTTTGCTAAAAACAGACTGGTTATTCAAAAAAGATACAGGTTGATTTTAAATTCATCCAAGTGGCTACCCATAAAACAGGAACAAGAAGAAAACAGCATTACTCTGTATGCCTACTACTGTAGGAATCCTAATAACCAGATGTCAAGCCAACAATTCCTCTAACCTTCCTGTGACAAAAGTTAAAAAATGAAGGCTGGCCAGGCAGAGCCGTGGCACAGGCCTTTAATCCTACCACTTGGGAGGCAGAGGCAGGCGGATCTCTGAGTTCGAGGCTAGCCAGGGCTACACAGGGAAACTCTGTCTCAAAAAATAAAAAAGGCTAGGAGATGGCTCAACTGGTAAAGTGCTTACCACGCAAACATGGGACCTGAGTTCAGATCCTCCGCACCAATAGAGAAAAGCCAGGCGCAGTGGCTGTGCCTGTCATCCCAGCATCGGGAAGGCGGCAAGAGGAAGATCCCTGGGGCTGGCGGATGGTAAGTCCAGTCAAGTCAGTGAGCTCCAGGTTCAATGAGAGACTCTCAAAAACTAAAGTGAAAAATGACTGAGGAAGACACCTGACATTCACCTCTGACCTCCACATTCACGTGTGCACACATATGCACCTGCATGGGCACATACACATGAACACATACAAACCAAAAAACTCAGAAAATGTTCTATGTAAGTGAAAGTAAAAATAGTTCTTTGTTTTCACTTGAGAACAATCTGAGTTAAAACAAGCTTCAAGGCCAGGTGGTGGTGGCATATGCCTTTAATCCCAGCACTCAGGAGGTAGAGGCAGGCGGACCTCTGTGAGTTCGAGGCCAGCCTGGGCTACAGAGCAAGATCCAGGACAGGCTTCAAAGCTACCCAGAGAAACTCCATCTCAAAAACAAACAAACAAACAACAAAAAAAAACCAAGCTTCAAATTCTTTCTTTGTACAGTGAAATTATATATGTATATATTTATATGTATATTTACCTAAGTATATTGATATAGAGACACAAACACATACATACCTAGACAGTCTATCAAGGCTTTCGGTTCAGCAGTTTGTCATGATGCTTACTTCAATACAAACCTAGAGTAAAGTGAAGAGAGGAAAAAAAAACTTTTTGTGTAATATTTTCTACTTTCAAAATAGAGGTATATATTACCTCTCATTTTTAAACACACTATTTTCATGGTTACATATTTAGTTAACCAGGCATACCCATACCTCATTATGTTCATAACAGCAACATTAGCCATAGCATCTTTATTAAGTACTGAGGCTAATAACAGAGATGGCTATTATAACTGCTATTGCATTTTTATATTCCCTTTGAAATATATTTAGTTTTTTTCTTCTTTTTTTTAATACCCTTTAAATTTTATAAAATTTATCTTATTTGTTGGGGGGGGTGGCACACATGCCCCAGCACTCGCGTGGAGGTTAGAGGACAATTTTATGGAGTCAGTTCTCTTTCCCCTTCACCTGGAATTGGCACTGAACGTCTGTCATCAAGCCTGCACAGCAGAAGCCTTTCCCTGAACCATCTGGCCAGTACTCCTGCAACAGTTTTTAGGTCTTGTCATTTCCTAATATCCTCTTTACTTTTGGCTTACACTGATTTAATTTCTAATAAGTCAAACTGGTAATGTAGCAAGAGAATAATAAGCCTTAAATATTTTGTTACAAAGAAATCTGCTTGGGATTGAGCGAGGCTCAGCAGTCAACAGCATTTATTACTCCTGCAGAGGACCCAAACTCAATTCCCAACACTCATGGAGAGCAGCTCACAACCACCTGGAACTCCAGCTCCAGGAATCTGACACCTTTGGCTTTCATGGACAGCTGCACTCAAATGGACACACCCCACACAGATGCACTCATATACACATGATACACATAATACAAATACATATACTCATATACACATAATACAAATAGCTGGCTGGTGGCAGCACACTTCTTTAATCCCAGCACTCGGAAGGCGGATTTCTGTGAGTTCGAGGCCAGTCTGGTTTACATAGTGAGTTCCAGGACAGACAGCTGTTACACAGAGAAACCCTAAGGCAGGGGTTGAGGGGATGGGGGTGTTAATAATAATACAAGTAGAGGCAGGTGGATCTCTGTGAGTTCGAGGCCAGTCTGGGCTGCAGAGTGAGTTCCAGGAAAGGCGCAAAGCTACACAGCGAAACCCTGTCTCGAAAAACAAACAAACAAACAAAAAACAAAAAAAAGATTAAAAAAAAAAAGTTTGTTTCTGCCGGTTGTGGTGGCGCACACTGGTAGGATTTGCTGAAGGAGGTGGAGGCAGGAGGATCACGAGTTTGAGGCCAGCCTGGGCTAGAGTATTATTTTTAAAGTAAAAAGTATTAAAATAATAATAATAATAATAATAATAATAATAATAATAATAATACAAGTAAGTCTAGTAGCATGGCTCACGACTCCAGCCTGGGGATTTGATGCCCTCTTCTGGTCACTGCAGGTGCCTACACACAGGCGCATAGATAACTACACACACACATACACACATCATCCTCATCATCAAATTTAAAAAGAAAAACTGATCCAGGTAATGGTAGCGCATGCTTTGAATCCCTGGACTCGGGAGGCAGAGGCATGCAGATCTCTGTGAGTTCAAGGTCAGCCTGGTCTACAAAGCGAGTTCCAGGACAGACTCCAAAGCTACACAGAGAAACCCTGTCTTGGAAAAAAAAAAAAAAGAAAGAAAGAAAGAAAAAGAAAAAAGAAAGAGTGGCAGAACCAGGCATGGTGGAATGTGCCTGTGATTTCAGTCATAGAACAGTGAGTTTGAAAAGAAGAGCAGGACTCTATCTCAAAAACATCATCAAGACTTAGGAGAGCATGAACAAAACAATTTAGCTGGTCCTCTATTGAGAAGTGCTGGCACATACTTGGGTGTTTACAGCTGTCTTTTTAAAGCCCTCTCCTTTCCTTAAAATAGAACTTAAATCCTATGAAACAGATACTAACTTTATCCCATTTTAGAGATGAAGAAACTGAGGCACCCTGTACAGGCAGGATTTAAAACAAGGAAAGCCAGCTCCAGAACCTATCTTCTTAATTAATATAAGAAATTAAAATTCTGATTTCCGCCCCAGGCACAATGACTTAGGCCTGTAACGAGGGCACTCATGAAACTAAGGCAAGAGGACTAATGAGAGTTTAGATCAGCTGGAGCTACATCGTACATTCTAGGCCAGCCTGTGCTACAGGGTGAGGCCCTGTGACAAATAAGAGTTTAATTTATACGATTATGAATTAGCAGGATAGGACTACCAGTGAAACAGATCTACTATTTTCAAACCAGGGTAAAGCCAGGAATAGTGGCTCACATCTGTATCCTTACTGGTGCTGGGGGAGGACAGGGGGAGGATAAAGAGGTGGCTCCCCGGCTATCAGGCTAGCCATTTGAGCCAATCAGTGAGCTCATGGTTCTGTAAGACTGTCCCAAATACACAAGGGTGGAGAGCCTGAGAAAAAGGACTTGACCTCCAACCTCCATGTGTGCACTTTGTTCACAGACAATGGCATTCCCATGTATACACACGCATACGCATTAAAACAGGAGAACGGTATAACCCATAAATAAGTCACTGGTCCTGTGAAGAGCTTCAAATGTACGGTGCCAGAAAAAATTCTTTAGAAAAGTTTAATGATGAAAAATATTTTTGTCAGCCAGATGCAGTGGCATGTACCTATAATTCTAGCACTCGGGAGGCAGAGGCAGGTGGATCTCTATGAGTTCGAGGCCAGCCTGGGGTGGATCTCTATGAGTTCGAGGCCAGCCTGGGGTGGATCTCTATGAGTTCGAGGCCAGCCTGGTCTATACAGTGAGTTCCAGGACATCCAGAGCTATATAGTAAGACCTTGACTCAGGGAAAAAGGGAGAGGAGAAGAGGGAGGAAAGAAACTAAGAAATTTTGTCCAAAGAAGAAAAGAACTACCAGGTGTGGTGGCACACTCATGTAATCCAAGCACTCAGTAGGCGAGGCAAGAAGATTGCTGTAAGTTTATGGCCAGCCTGAGCTACCTCTCAGCAAAACCAGAGGACTAGAAGGCTGAGAGAAGGGAAAAAGAAGAGGGCAAGCAATGGATTGTATGTATCTTGAAATATCTAAAATAAGAACATACTGTGAAAATACAATTACCAGTTCAATAAAATAAATAACCAATAAAAATTGGTCAGGTGTGGGGGTACATGCCTGTAATCCTATCGAATGGGGGGGGGGCGCTAAGGTATGAGGATACCTGCAAACCTGGGCTACACAGTCAGTTTAAGGCAAGCCTGGAGTATATAGCAAGATCCTGTCTCAAAAAGACACACAAAAAGTAACTTTGTCTCTGAAACTATGAATGACCTCTCAAAAATGTGTAAATACAAGTGATTTTGCAAACCATTTTGAAGGGTTCATTAGCCTTCATTTAATCATCTATGGACATTTAGAATCCTGTATCACAGGTTGAAATGGAAAAGCAAGTATTTTTAACCCCCACCCCCCCACCCCCTCATCCCCCCACCCCCCACCCGGATTTTTTTTTTTTGAGGAGAGCACAGGTGTGGAAAAGTTAGAGGATAACTTTCAAGAGTGAGTTCTCTCCATGCACCCTGTGGGTCCCAGAAAAAGAGCTACGGCTAGTTTGTCTGGGTGACAAACACCTTTAGCCAATGAACTATCTTGCCACCCCCAATTGACATTTAATCAGCTTTAAAATCCTTACAAACTCCCAACCTGGTTTCTTATGAGATCCATTATGACACATACTGCAGTGAGTCTGAAAGATTATGAAAAGAATGCACATCCTATTTAAAGGTGGGGTTTGCTATTGCGCTCTTATTTTTCTGGTGCTGGGCATCCAAATAGGGTTTAGGTAATTACCCTACCACTGAGCTATGGCCCAGCCCTCAAGTTGTACTGGGAGCTCATAGCTCAGTTAAGAATTTTGGCTGCATGAGTAAAACTTGCATATGCCAAGGACTACACATTCATAAGGGTGGAGGGGAGGGAATTATGGTCACAAAATATTAATACGAATAATTAAAACTCAATTTTCTTTCTTAAGTAAACAGCATGTAATTAAGTTAACCGAAGAGTTTAATAAGTCTCAGGCCTTTCTTAACAAATGTAAGTGCTGCATTCCTGAAACTGCAACCACATGCCAGCACTGTGCTACAGACTCCATGTCTGCCATAACACTAAGCTAGTTCCAGGCACAAGATGTTCTAAAACTAAGTCCGTCGAGAGCCAATACACAAGCGTGACAGAACCTGGGGTCTGGCCGCTGATTTATCTCCTGATGCAATTTGAGAATGTACACTTACATTAAATCTAGTAATGTACCTAATCTACCTAAATCGTTTACATTAACCCCAGTGAAATGGGAAAAGCAAAATGCAAAATCGATTAAGTAAGCATTTTATATTCAACTTTGAATTCTGCCACAATGAAAAAAGACACGCAAGTTAAACCGTATTTCCTAGTTAAGATGATGTCAAACCATTAGGAGAACAGAAAACAAGTGACCCAGAAAAAACTACAAGTCAAATGAAAAACAGCAGCTGACTCTGTAGAGGAAGGCTGCTGTTTTTCCATGTGAGATGGGGAGCTGGAGCCCCTTGAGAGGGAATGAGGAAAGGCCGAAGTATTCAGACTCAAAGGCACTTTCCGCAACTGCTGTGGGAAAAGAACGAACGTGTTAACTGTTTCTGCGGCGTTGGGAGTCAAACCCAGGGCTTTAGGAACGCTAAGCAAACATTTTACCACTGAGCTACAACCAGGCCACAAGCCTGGCAACTATTTCAACTGAAGAGGTGAAACAACATGGGGTCCAGAGTCTCGTCCGGCATCCAGGGTAGTTAGGCATTTAATAGCGGTCAGCTTTGTTTCCGGTGCATCTGCGAGTTCAAACCTTTTCTCTATCGCACCACCCTCGCATAGGCAGATGAACAAACCGAGCCCACACAAAGCACGGGAACACGGGCGAGTGTCCACGCACTTCACTCTCGGCGGGAGCCCACGGACACTTCCCCCCTGTTCTGTGCACAGCAACCATGGGCCTGGCAGAATTCCTCCCAGAACTCGGGTCGAGAATGTAACCTCTATTTCAAAGGGAAAGTTACTTTGGGGAACCTGGGGAAGGGGGGGGGGGGTGTCTTCCAGGTATGTAGAGCTTTGGGATTCTGAGAAGCACCCGGCAGAAGCAGGCGAGAGGCTTGTGGATCACGGAGCGGGGAGGAAAAGTCAGAAGACCCGAGCGAGAAGCCCAAGTCAGCCCTCGCCCTTCCTGATCCTGGAGGAGGACGAGCCTGCAGGCTTCCGAGCCTCATCAGGCACTGGGGGTGGGGGGGTGGGGGTGCTTGGCCAGGCTACCAAGAAGCCCTGGGCACAATCAGCGAGCCCCACGACAAGAAGTCCCGCGACAAGGCAGGGAGGGCCAGCCTGCGGGGACCGCGCCCGGTCCAAAGGCCCCGGCGTGCAGGCCCGCGCCCTTTCCCGGACCTTACCGCCGCTCGGTGCAGAGGGGCCGGCGGCCCGCACAGTCCTCGGCCCACGCCCGGGACGCGTCTTCGGGAGCTGCCGCTGCTCAGGCAGAGCCGGGTCGGGTCAGAGCGAGCATCCACCCGCGCGGCCGCGGCCTTCGGGACGCCCCAGCGCGCGTCGGAAGCCTGCCGTGCAGGAAGGGTCAAGGCGCGCCCCGCGTGCCAGGCAGCGACGGCCGCACAGCCCAGCAGCGCGCCCGACGCCGTCCGCCCTCCGCGACACGGCCCCGGCGCCGCTTCCCCCGCGCTCGCTTTGGCGGCGGAGCAGCACGGTGCACGCCGATTGGTCCTCCGGGGGCGTGACGCGCGGCGACGCTCTCCACGGATTGGCCGGACCGCGGTGCGTGTAGGGAGTAAACAAAACCCGCCCCCCAGCCAAGGCTCGCCCCCGAGGGGCGGGGCCGAGGTGGGTGGCGGGCTCCCTGGGGCTCGCACTGGCCCTTTGACCTCCGCGCTCGCACTCTCCGCTAGGGGCCGCCCTGAAGCCGTGCCTACCCCTGGCTCGGGGGCGGGGGCGGCCAGGTGGCCTGAACCTGAATGGCGAAGCTCGCCCTTCCCCCTTCAGCCCCTCACCTCACCTCCGCCCACCACCTCGCCTCTCTCAGCTCGCGAGTGGGGTTCTCTTTTCCATCCCAGTCTCTCTTGAGGAGATCGGAACAAAGGGCCTTTACATCTCGGTCACGGACTTTTGATGGGCCCCTTGCTCCCGGAGCAGCTGGGAGGCAGATGGATAACAGTGACCCTGAGGCCACGCGTGGACGACAGAGGAAGTGGTCCTGCTTCAGTTCCTGGAGAAGTGTAGATACGAAGTAGACCAGATCAAGTCAATCACATCGAAGTTGAACAGATGGAGGTACACGCTCCCAAATACCTGGTCATTTATTAAATACTTAGTTTGGTGTGGTGGCTCGTGTCTTTAATCCCAGCACTGAGGAGGCAGACACAGACAAATCACTGCAAGTTTGAGGCCAGCCTAGTGAACCCAGAGAGTTCAGAGCCGGGCAGGGCTGCACAGTGAGACCTTGTCTCCAAAAAAAAAAAAAATTTTTTTTTTCCCTTTCAGGTGCATTTGTAAAATCCGATGTGAGCAGTGGAAGTTTGGAGGTAAAATAGGAAACTCTGACTTTTAAATAATAATCCCAGCACTCAGGAGTCAGAGGCAGGCAGATTTCTGAGCTTGAGGCCAGCCTGGTCTACAGAGCAAATTCCAGGACAGACAGGGCTACACAGAGAAACCCTGTTTTGGAAAACCAAACTAAAATAAAAATTTAGATACTTTGATCTTTCTCGTTTTAATTTCTTCGTAGCTCAGTGAACCAAACACAATTTGTGATGCTGGGGACGTGTACAAAAGAGACAAAAATTCTTAGCTTCATTGAGCTTATGTTCCAATGAGGTGGGAAAGATGATCCTCAAAATACTAAAACAAACAAACAAAACCCCCTTAAGTTACAGTAATCCCAGTACTTGGTGGGTGGGGGCAAAAGTCAGAAGGTGGGGGCCTCAGCTACAAGGCCATTGGTGCCAGCCTGGCCTAGATGAGGCTGTATTTCACAAAAACAGACCCAACAACAACAAGACTACTACATTCCATGTTGGTCCAGGTACAAAAACAAATCCAACACAGAACTTCAGTAGTATGATAAGGGTCAGCAACTCTGATACGTATGCCATTAAGTAAATATCAGCCCAGAGTGGTGGCACATGCTTCTCAGAGGCAGAGTCAGGAGTGTGAGACCAACCCGGTCTGCATGAGATCCTTTTTCAAAAACATAGATGGGGGCTGGAGAGATGACTTAGCAATTAAGAGCACCGACTACTCTTCCAAAGGACCTGAGTTCAATTCCCAGCACCCATATGGCAGTTCACAACTGTCTGTAACTCCAGTTCCAGGGGACCAGGAGACCCTCACACAGACAAAACACCAATACACATAAAATAAAAAATAAATAAATTATTTAAAAAAACATAGATATTTAGATAGATAGATAGATAGATAGATAGATATAGAAAGATAGAATAAATGCAAAAAGAGGTCAGGGAGGCAAGAGAGCAAACACCTTTGACTCTTTCTTTGGAAGAATTGGAGACAATTTCTGCACAATGTTTAATGGGTAAACTCCTCAGAATTCCAAAACTACCATACACAGTAGTCCTGTGACTGATTCCAAAATCTCAAAACCTCAATTGAATGATTGCCTTTTCCACTGATAAGTGAATTCAGATTTATTTATTTCCCAAGAAATTTTGCTAGGGTATTATGTTCAGCTTATCATGCCGGGTGGTGGTGGCACACACTTTTAGTCCTAACACTTGGATGGCAGAGGCAGGCAGATCTCTGAGTTTGAGGCCAGCCTGATCTACAGCGTGAGTTTCTGAACAGCCAGGGCTACACAGAGAAACCCTGTCTAAAAAACACAAAACGATTACCAATCTTGGCATTAAAGATACAAAAATCAATGTGGCAAAAAAAAAATCTTTACCTCAATCAAGTAGAGAAGAATTATGAAGGGCATCAACATGTATAATAGCCATGAGAGAAGCAGACACATTAAATGCTTGGGCTAATGTGGAGAAAGGAATGCCCAGAATCTCACTACCTGTCAAGGAAACACTACATGCCCATGCTGGAATGGGAGGGGATGGGTAAGTGTAGAGACCAGAGTACAACTTGGAGAAATTGGTCCTTTCTTCTACTATATGGATCTCGGGGGTTAAAATCAGGTTGCCAGATTTGACAACAAATGCCTTCACCCTCTGATCCATCTTGCCATATTCCCTTAACCTCTTTTTTTTTTTTTTGGAAGATTTATTATGTATACAGTGTTCTGTCTGCATGTACGCCTACAGGCCAAAAGAAAGTGCCATCTCATTGCAGATGTTTGTGAGCCACCATGTGGGTGCTGGGAATTGAACTCAGGACTTCTGGAAGAACAGTCAATGTTCTTAACCACTGAGCCATCTCCCCCTTAACCTCTTTCTAAAGTGAAAACTTGAAGACAAAAAATAAGTTGACCAGTCAATCACAGTGTTCCATACCTTTAGTCCCAGCACTTGGGAGACAGAGGCATGTAGACCTCTTTGAGTTCCAGGCCAGCCTGGTCTACATACTGTGAGTTCCAGGCAAGCCTGGGCTGCGTAGAGAGATCGTGTCTCAAAAAGCCAAGGGGGGGGGGCCCTAAGTTGAACAATAAGAAGCTACCATATTGTTTGGTGTCCTCTTGTGAGAGTTAGCATAAGATATGCAAGATGAACAGGAAATATTCAATAAGTATGCCAGTTATTCTTTGGCATTGCTTTTGAAACAGATAATTTAAAAGTCAGCATTCCACGGTATCTCCCAAAGCCACAGAGCTTAATACGAAGTAGAAGGCTTCAAATTTTCCATCCACTAGTTTGATCTAGCTGTGAATTTCCATGACCTAATGAGGGTATGCTGTAGAAGACAGTAAATGCTAGCTTCACAGCAGGCCAAGAATCCAGAACAAGGAAGAACAGCTTGGTTTTGAAGCCAAATACTCAAAGTTCTCTGGTACAGAATAAATTGAGTTGCTACAGGGATGAAAATTCATGTAAATCAATTTTTCATTCCCACTCATAGTTTCAATTTAGCAATGTGCACAAACAGCTTTCTGTCTACCTTCTCATTTCCCCATTAAGAGATCCTATTTCCTTTGAAAAAGAAATTAAGTCTTCACCATCTCCAATGCCAGAGAGTTAGATGTCTGAACTGTGTCAGCACATTTATTGATTCAGCACTTATTAAGCACTTACTGTATGCCAAACACTGTGCAAGGATTGGAAACACAAACGTCTCAAGAGCTGTTAAGTGGTATGTCGTGATCTTAGAAAACCCCTTGGCTCACTCAGTTCACTTTATGTCTTATCACCTAAACTTAGCTTACTCCAAAAAGGAATCTCTTGGCCACCCACCTCCAGCTCTTTTCCCATAAAATTTTGTCTGCCTTTCTAACATTTATTAAAGCTGTAATGATCCGCTTGGATCTGTAGCCTGTTGGGCTCTAAGTGCCTTCGGAGTCGGAGAGACTCATTTTCAGTGCCATTATTGACAAATATATGGCGGCTAGCTAGTAAGTATATTCGGAAGGAGAAGCAAAGTGTAATGAACAAGGTGTGGTAAGTGCACACCTGTAATCCTGGGTACTCAGAGACTGAGACAGAAGAGTTGCAAGTTCAAGACCAACCTAGGGTACATAGTGAGTTCAAAAGCAACCCGAGAAACTCTGTCTTAAACTAAATTTAAAAAGGACAAAGACCGGAACTGTAGCTCACTGGGAGAGCATTTGTCTACCGCTGAGAAGGCCCTGGGTTCAATCACAGCTGCAGAAGAAGAGATACACAGATAAAGCCACTCTTAGTCAGGCTGGTGGTTCCTGCCTGTACTGGCAGCACCTTGGGGAGGCAGAGGCAGGAAGATCCAGAATTCAAATCCAGCCTCTACCACATAGTGAGTCCAAGGGCAGCATGAATGAAGGAACCCTACAAGAAAAATGAGTATCTCAATCAGGGTTTCTGTTGCTGTGAGGCGACATCATGACCCAAAAACCAAGTTGGAGAGGAAAGGATTTATTTGGCTTACACTTCCTCATCACAGTCCATCATCAAAGGAAGTCAGGACAGGAACTCAAACAGGGCAGGAACCTGGAGACAGGAGCTGATGCAGAAGCCACAGAGAGGTGCTGTTTACTGGCTGGCTGCTCTTCACGGCTTGCTCAGATTGCTTTCTTATGGAACCCAGGACCACCCAGGGATGGCACCACCCACAATGAGCTGGGCCTTCACTCATCAATCGCTAATTTAAAAAATGCCTTACAGCTGGCTCTTATGGAGGCATTTTTCTCAACTGAGGTTCCCTCCTTTCAGATTACTCTAGCTTGTGTCAGGTTGACATAAAACTAACCAGGAAAATGCCACATAATCCTGATGACCTGATAATGAGTTAAATCCCCAGAGCTCATGGAAGGAAGGAACCCCACAACTCCTTCAAGTTATCCTCTGACCTCCAACCATGGCACACCGGTACTCACAAACACAGTAACAATAAATGAGTAAAGAAGTAACCTTTTAGAAGCCCTCCTTCCTTGTAAATATGTGGGCCACAGAACCCACATATCACCAACGGAAAGAGAACTGTGGAAACTGCAGGCCACCGCTTCAAGTCTGGGCCGCTCCAACTTTAATGTCCTAGGAACCCCCCGGGGAATTCTCATTAAACTTTTTATTACAAGGTGTGGCCTAGATTCCACATTTCCTACAAACTCCCGAAGAGTTGCTGATGCTGCCTCACCAGCCAAACACACTGGAGGCAGGAACACCCACATCGACACCTTTTTAATCACACAGAAAAGATCTGCTCTCAGAACTGTTCCAAACATGACTTTTTTTTTTTAAAGCATCCTTTCCTATATCCAATCCATTCATTGACTGAAGAAAGGAAAAACACTTCAGGGAAATGTCAACCTGGGTGTTGTCTGGGAGCTACACTCCTAGTATGTACGGATTAATCACTGTAGCAGTACAGGGTGGAACAGGGGCCTTGAATTTGACATACAGCCTCTCCCCCGTTCATTTCTTGAAGCTGAAAATTGGAGTAATAGAAGAATTTCAGTTACTCTTCACAAAAGCAACATCTTAATTTCACATGTAATCTTATTTTCCTGCCTAGAAAGGATCTCACTTTTGTAGCCCAGGCTAGCCTGGAACTCTGCTTCTTCCTGCTTCTTCTTGGCTAAGAAAGAATTCAAGTTTAGCCTAGGCTTAGAGGAGCCCCTATCTCAAAAAGCAATTAAGTAAAAAAATATGTATACATTCTCTTACCAATAAGCTTTTTGGTTTTTTACCTTTTTTCACCGATTTTGATGCTCTGAATTTCCTTGTACATGTATCTTGTATCTATAGAAATGTCTTTGGAGTTTTCAGTTATATATAAGGGTGAGAGTCAAAATATTTAACAACTGGGGCTGGAGAGATGGCTCAGCACTGGTTGATCTTCCAAAGGACCCAGGTTCAATTCCCAGCACCCACAAGGCAGCTCCCACCTGTCTGCAACTTCAGTTCCAGGGCTTCTGACAGCCTCACACAGACATCCATGCAGACAAAACACCAGTGTACATTAAAAGAAAAAAAAAAAACTAACACCCTCATGTAGTCAAGGCTAGGCTTTTTCTACTCTCAGATGTGCTGATTCTGTACCTCAAGTGCTGGGATTAAAAGTGTGTGCCACCTGGGCCCAGCTTGACATAAATTATTTCGTGCTGGTGGTTTATTTGGGGAGATAGCTACAAAGGACAGGAGTGGGGAACGTCAAGGAAAAGTCAATCCAAGGATGTAACTGAGACGTCCCTGCTGGAGGGACTGAACCTTGAGCTCACTGGGACTGTTTAGGGGTTGCAAACTGGTGGCTGTCTACATAAGAGGTGGAAGACCTTACACAACGGCTCCCAGCCCCATTCGGTCTTTGTTTGTTTGTTTGTTTGTTTTGTTTTTTTGAGACAGGGTTTCTCTGTGTAGCTTTGGAGCCTGTCCTGGAACTCACTCTGTAGCCCAGGCTTGCCTCAAACTCACAGAGATCCACCTGCCTCTGTCTCCCGAGTGCTGGGATTAAAGGCGTGCACCACCACCGCCTGGCACCTAGCCCATTCTTAGTTACCCAGCAGTGTTAACCCTCTACCACATTCCCATTTGACTACGGTGAAAAGGCCAGAATGGGTTCAGACACACATGCCAAGCTCATCTCACTAACTCTGATGCTGTGGAGATGACATTTTTGCCATGCATGGTAGCACACTAGTAATCCCAGCACTTGGGAGGCAGAAGATCGGGGGTTCAAAGTCATGTATTGACTATTAAAGAGTGTCTTAAATAAATAAATACAATCTAAACATCAGAGGACTTTATTACTTTTGAGATCTGAGATCAGTTTTTATATTTTCTCTGTGTGTGTTTGCATGTGCGAGCGTGTGCGTGTGCGTGTGCGTGTGCGTGTGTGTGTGTGTGTGTGTGTGTGTGTGTGTGGTGATACTGGAGATCAAACCTAAGAACTCACATATGCTAGGAATATCTTCACACACACACACACACACACACACACACACACACACACACACACACATTTGTTGTTTTGTTTTTTGAGATGGGGTCTCACTATGTAGCTCTGGCTGTTCTGGAACTTGCCATGTTAGACCAGGCTGGCCTCAAACTCATGGGGATCTGTCTGCCTCTGCCTCTTGAATATTGGGATTAAAGTCACGTACCCCCATGTCCAGCCCATCCATCCATATTTAAGCATGAAAGTGGACGTCTTTCATGCTTTTTTTTTTTTTAAACCAGAAGCCATTCTACATAGGGCATGTCTTAGTTTCACTTCCTTTTGCTGATAAAACACTTGACAAGGGGCTGGAGAGATGGCTCAGCGGTTAAGAGCACTGGCTGCTTGCTCTTCCAGAGGACCTGGGTTCAATTCCCAGCATCCACATGGTCGCTCACAACTGTCTGTAACTCCAGTTCCAAGGAATCTGACACCCTCACACCAATGCATATAAAATAAAATTAAATAAATTAGGGGGGAAACCCTTGACAAAAGCAGCTCAGGGAGAAACGGTTTATTTGGTTCTCAATTCCAGGCTACAGAGCGTTATTTTGGGGAAATCAAGGTGGCAGGTACACAGGGCAGCTAAGGACAATCCATCCACAGTCAACAGTGGAGTAGCTGTAGAGATGGCTCAGGGGGAGGAGTGCTTTCTGTTTTTCCAGATGACCTGAGTTAGGTTCCCAGCACCCACACTGTGCTGCTCAGTAACTCCAGTTCCAGGGGATCTGATCCCCCTCTTCTGGCCTCTGAGAGCACCTTGCACACATACGGCATACACATACAATAAATAAAAATAAATCTTTAAAAAAATACAATAGAGAGCGAGGAATTCATTCATTTATGCTATCATTCAGCTTGCTCTCTCCTTTAATTCTGCTCAGGGTCCCGTCCATGAAATGATGTCACCCACCTTGAGGATGAGTCTTCCCACTTCCATTAATTCAATGAAGAAAATCCCTCACAGGCCAAACTATTCTAGATGATTCTTGAGAATAAAAATCAGCTCCACATAACGTCTTTTTACCTCCATAATGCCCTTGTTCCTCATCCTCCTCTTTAGACTATTACTTTGAAAATACACTAACAAAACCTCTTTCTTTCCTCAAATCTTTCAGTGTTTGTCATTATCTGAATGTCCCACTACAGTGGTGGTCTGTGGTCTCCACTCCTTGGGGGTCGAATGACCCTCACAGGGGTCACCTAAGACCATCAGAAAACAGATATTTACCTTGTGATTCATAAGAGTATCAAAATTACAGTTTTCACAATTTTAAGGTTGGGGGTCACCACAACATGAAGAACTGTATTAAGGATTGCAGCCTTAGGAAGGTAGAGAACCACTGCACTACGGAATGATACCATGGACTCAGAGACAGTAGAGAAGCCACTCTGGCTAGGGAATCAGACTAGATAACCCGGCTGAATCGCCCACCATTAGGTTGTCTCTAGTTATGTGTGCAAGTTCAACGCGACAAATGAGATACACCCAACTAAAGTGGCTTTATTCTAGCAGCATTTATAGAACAGCTGCCCATTCATGGTTTCATGGCAGTTTCCTAAAGAATTCAAAGTTTTCAGAAAGGATTGTAGGATCTACAGGGCTAAGGCTATTATATTAATATATCAAATTATCTCTCAGTTATTTATATAATCTTTCCAAATATTTTAAAAGAGTGTATAGCTTTACAACAAATTATATGTTAGTATTCGGACCCACCCCTTGGGGCTGCCCTGTGTCCTGATGGAAAGGCTTCATTTTAAGGAAAAACCCCTCCCTTCCTCTCTCTCTTCTGCTCTCTCTCTCCATTCCCATGAGGCGTGCACTCCTTGACCTTTCTCCCTCCCCCCTCTCTCCTTCTTTCTATATCTTTCTATCAAATAAACTCTCTTCATGTATATGCAGCACCTGGGTGTGAGTGACAGTCCATTTACGCCTATGCCCGCCACTCCATCTGCCCAGCATGTTTTCTTCATGTGTGGGACTCCCTGGTTCAGTCAGCTGGGCTCCCCACCTCCACCTCCACCCCATGCACAATATCATAACAATATCCCCAGTCCCAAAGAATAAATCATCTTCTCTGATAATTTCCTTTGTGTAAGACTGTAACTATAGAATAAGAAGTCTAGAGAGGACCTGAGAGGCCTACTGGGTGGATCATGGTTACAGTACCAGCCCTTGGGAGATTGGGGAATGTGGACTGCCATGAGTTTGAGGACAGTCTGAGCTATGTAGTGAGATCTTAAAAACAATTAAAATTAAATAAAGAATATCCCAAAAGCCACCACGTGTGGTGGCTCATTGTCTGCAATCCTAGAACCTGAGAGGATGAGACAGAAATGCCACAAGGTCAATGCTAACCTGGGCTTCATAATGAGTTTGAGGCCAGTCTGGGCTACAGAGTGAGATCTAGTCTCAAAAACAAAGAGCAAACACACTGGGATCCAGAGAAGCAAGGTTCCACAGAACCCTCTTTTCTCTAACCGAACCTACGAATTTTAACTTGAGTGACAGCTGTAATGAACATGCTTATTTCTCTGGCTTCTTTCCTTCCCTTTCATTCTTCTATGCAGTGATGGGGATTGAACCCAGGTTTTATCCCCGTGAGGCAATCCGAGCTCTACCACTGAGCTACACCCCTAGTTACTCTGTGACTTGCTAGGTAGCAGAGGCTGGCCTTGAGCACCTGGCCTTTCGGATCCCACCTCACAAATGCTGGGATTCTAGGTGTATGATACCAGACCTAGTTTATGCAGTACTGGAGAGAGAGAGCAAGCCCAGAGCTCCAGGAATTCAAGGGAAGCGCTGTGCCAACAGGCACAACCCGTCTGGGATTGTTCTCACTGTGCAGAAACCGGAGTAGGGAGCAGTGTCCAATAAAAATGTTCAAGTGAAATAAAAACTAAATCTATACATTAAAACAGATAAAAAATATTCTGGAGAGATAGCTCAGTTGGTAAAGAGTTCAAGGCCAGCCTGGTCTACAGACCCAGTTCCAGAACAGCCTTCAAGGTTTCTACACAGAGAAACTCTGTCTCAGAAAAACAGCAACAACCAAACCAAACCAACCAACCAACCAAACAAGGATGTCTTAAACAAAAACCCCATATGCATACGAAGTGTTTCTATTGCTGTGTTCATCTTCAATTTTATTAAAGATCTTTAAAATGGTTTATGACAGTCTCAATAACTACTTAATAAAACTGACATACATAGCAGTAACAGAGAAATAAAATCATGACACTGATACATACATAAGAATTCAAATCTATACTTATTCATCTTTCCTAATTAATTTTCCACAAAATCATTCGGAACCTTTACACAGATCATACTGTTTTTCACAGAGTTAGAAGCATGATGAATGCTCTACACGAAGTGTGTGCTGGGACACACTACAGGACAGCTAACGTTGCCTTGGAAACCTTGTTTTTTTTTTCACAGTGTGAGCCCCACACTACAAGCACAGAAGTAACAGCCCTTCTGCTAGGCACATCATAAGACGTTGCTCAAGATGCCGTAACCATTTTGCCTTAAAAGACCTGAAAAATCCTACTTAATGGCTTCTGAAGTCTGACTTCCTTTTTTAAAAGTTTTTAAAGACACAGCTCATTTAGCAAACAATTCAATTGGCAAACGGACAAAGTTATGAACAGAGATTTAAAAGATGATGGCGAGCAGATGGCAAAAGGCACAGGAAATAATATTCAACATCACCAAATGCTGGTGAGAGAACATGGAGAGACCGGATCGCTCTCACACTGATGGCAGAAACATAAAACGGGACAGCCACTCAGCATAAAGACTCTATTCTTCTCTTTCCATTTTACAGTACTGGGGATCAAACCTAGGGCCCTGTGCACACTAGACCAGAGCTCTACCAAATAAGCTACCTCCTAACCTAAAAATCTAGATAACTATTGGGATTGCTAAAAAGCAATCCCAATAGTTATCTAGATATGAAAAAAAAATGCAAAGTGCAGAAAGGCTTTGAGAACAGAATAACAAAAGTTCTGAATCATCCCATTCTGAAGGCTCTTTCAGGCTTTCGATTCCCTAACAGGAGACTCTTAAAAGTTCAGGGTGTGTCTGAGACTTGTTATTCTTATTTAAAAAGGACAATCTAAATTTCCTAAAGGGATTAAGAATTGTTCAAGTGAGCCGGGCGGGTGGTGGCACACGCCTTTAATCCCAGTGCTAGGGATTTTGAGGCTAGCCTGGTCTACATAGTGAGTTCCCAGACAGCCAGAGCTACATAGTGAGAACCTGTCTCGAAAAATAAACAAACCAAACCGAACAACACCAAAAAACCAAAACCAAAACAAACCAAACAACTGGTCCCCAGTATGGATATTTTGCTACTTCTGAGGTTCCTTCCTATAGCGCCAGAATGTTGGGTACTCTTAAAATACAATGTTACTATCTGCAGTCAAATATATAAACCTGTGAATTAAAGTTTCAACTACACCTGAAAAAGTTAAAAGTAGCTGGGCATGCTTAGCATGCACCAGGCTCCAGGGTCAGTTCCCAGACCAGCAACAAAAAAGTTGCTATACCCACTACGGATGCATATCTCTATAAAAATATTTGAAAATACACAGATGTGATTTTTTTTACAATAAACATCATGACTCTAGTTGTAAATATCTTCCTTTCCAACAAGTATAAGATATTATCAATAAATGTAACATCGAAGAGAAACGTAAAGTAAGAATCCATCCATAAAGAAGAAGGCACAGTGTTAAGTTGGGGTGTGGCAGTGGAGAGCAAACATAGCTTCCGCTTCAGGAAGCATCCTATCTAGTGAAGGTTTGGAACAGTGATCTTTTCCTTGGTCAGAGAAGAAAGTGGAGCAAAGCCAGGCTTGGGGATTCCTGCCTGCAATGCCAGCGCCCAGGAGGCTGAGGCAGGAACACTGCCATGAGTTCCAGGTCAACCTGCACCACAGAGTAAGATCCTGTCGGAAAAATAGGGGTGAGGAGAGATCAAATCATAGATGATCTAGAATGTATCACTCACACCATGAGGCCAAATGTCCACTAATTATGGCCACACAGGAGTAGGACTGAGGTACTTTTGTCCACTAATTATGGCCACACAGGAGTAGGACTGAGGTACTTTTGTAAGTACTAGAGGAGAAGTATAGGCTGCGTGTAGGTCGGTAGCGAAGGGTTGACTGTCAGGCTCAGGGCTCTAGGTTTGGTCCCACTACAGAGGTGAGGACACAAACAAGGGAAGACAACTTTTTCTTCATTACCCAGCAAAACAGAAACTGTATTTTAGGATACTCCCTACTTTTCCATTGTTGTTAAAAGTTCATTGCCTACAAGAAAACAGGGCAGAGAACACTGGAAATGTTACTACAGTCACCAAATCTTCAGTTTTCTTCTAATGGCTCGTATCAGTGGCTCTCAACTGACAATGATTTTTACCTCCCAGGGTGGCTCATGTTGACATGCACTTGGAGCCATGTTCAACAGCAGAGGCCAAGGACACTGCCAAGCATATGTGTCCAGTGTAGCATCTCAAAGCAAAGACAGATGAAGTTCAAAATGTCAGTGTTGCAAGGTGTGGTGGCATGCACCTTTAATCCCAGAACTCAGGAGGCAGAGGCAAGCAGGCAGAGCTCTATGAGTGTGGGGACAGCCTGGTCTACATGGTGAGTTCCAGGATAGCCAGGGCTATATGGTTAAGACCTTGTCACAAAAACAAAGCAAAGATCAATGCTGACATTGAGAAACCATAATCACAGATGGATACTAGAGATTTGAAGATCAGAAAGTCAGAGTATAAAGCAGTTAGTACTGCTTTAAGATGGGCTACACCGTCCTTATTGAGTTGACTGGAGACCTCTTAAAATGCATGGTAGGTCTACAATGGGAAAAGAAAATATGCTAAGAAGTATTAGCATATTTCACTTTCAAAAGCAGATGACGGGACAATGTTCTTCAATTGTTTTTGATTAACAACTGTCTCTACAGCCACAAATGACCTAGTATTTCTGTTTTTACTTAAATCTTACAAGAATCATTAAGTTCTGTCATTAAAATATGGTCAGAAAGCCAAAAAGCAAAAGAATAGCTTCTAGATTCACAGAAGAAAAAAAAAAAGTAACTGATCTTTCAAGCGAAGCTCAATTCGGATGAGATATTAGTTGTCTTTCACATTATCTAAAGGATATTTATCCTTCTCTCTGTAGTTGTGTGGGAAGAGCACAGGGAAGAAATGAAAAACCTTTAGCAATTAACATCACAATTTAGTCTATCCTAATACAAAAGGTCAGAATTACTTCCTATGAAATCATACCTACCAGAAGAACCTATAAAATATTTAAATAAAGCAGCTTTCACATGATTGATGGGAAAACCTGTCACTGGTCACAAAGTTATGTAAGAAACGTTGTAGGAGAAAAAGAGTAAGCTATCTACATACGATCTGATTTGTTGCAGTAAACAAAAAATACTTCTAACAAAACCTACTTCCAAATCTTTTTTAGAGTTTTTATTTATTGTTATTACGGAGTGTGTGTGCACAGCACCATGCATACGTGGAGGTCATAAGAACACTCTGGAGTCGGTTTTCTTCTTCCACCTTTGCATGGTGGAAGTTCAGGGGCTGAACTCAGGTCGGCAAGCTTGTCTGACAAGCGCCTGTACCTGCTGAGCCATCCTGTTGGCTCTCGAACTGTTAATGCAGTTAATGATGCAATGTGTTTGCTACAATGTTTCCTTTAAGAAACTTTTTTTAAACAATTGAAGACACTGCGAGCCCAGGGAAACAATTTGCACGAAGTACAATGTAACTATTCATTCTAGTATAACTGACTCCCAAATGCACACATGATAGCAGCAGCAACATTCCTTCTAACAGCTGCTCCTTTAGTGACACAATTATGTAGTAGGTAGTTCTATAATGGTTGTGATATTGACCAAGATGGGAACAAGTTCATTCACTCTCAAACTCCAAATCCCCAGTGGAGAGAGGGGCAAGGGACACAGAAGAGGCTGGAGCACTGTCAACTGCCCCATGACAATTTTATACCCAGCCCAAGGCTTCTCTCAACGTTCATTGACACTGTTTCCAGCAACAAGGGTTCATTAGGGAGGACTGGCTCAGTGGTACCGTAACGGCAATCATTATCAAACACAAGGTCCATCACCTTGTCAGCCAGCCTCAGCTATCTCTCAGAGGTGAGCAGGACAGACAAACAGCAAAAGATACATCAATAAATAGCCCATGAAAGCAATTCTTAAGTTACCAATAAACTAGAGCACTTACAGTAAACTCTGATGCCAGGTATGGCACACTCCCACAATCCTAGCACCTCTAGAGACTGAGTCAAGAGGATCTGGTGTTTTAGGCCAGCCTGAGTTATATAATGAGACCTAGTTGCAAAACAAAATAGAAAACAAACAAAAGCCGGGCAGTGGTGGCGCACACCTTTAATCCCAGCACTCAGGAGGCAGAGAGAGGCAGGTAAATCTCTATGAGTTCGAGACCAGCCTGGTCTACACAGTGAGTTCCAGGACAGGCTCCAAAGCTACACAGAGAAACCCTGTCTCGAAAAATCCAAAACAAAAACAAAAACAAAAAAGACAACAACAAAAACTAATATTAATAATTTAAACTCTGTCAAGTAGGCACTTTTTAAAAAGGGACATTTATGCAATATTTCAACAAATAAAGAACTAGAAAGAAAGATGTACATTAACTACCTGCATTTTATAAAAATAGAATGTTACTCTGGAGACTAAGGCAGGAGGCTCAAGAGTTAGAAACCAGCATGAATTAGACAGCAGATCTTTCTTCAAACAAATTAAAACGGAAGGTTTTGTTTTGTTTTGTTTTTTAAAAAGACAGGGCCTCACTATGTCCCCCAGACTGCCTAGAACTCCCCACATTGCCCGGACAGGCTTCAAGCTCACACTCCTCCGTCTTCACGCTCCTCCCTTCTGTCTTCACGCTCCTCCCTTCCGTCTTCATGCTCCTCCGCCTTCAGCCTCTAACGTCCTGGATTCACAAACATTTGTCACCATCCCAGGCGCAGCAGCCTTTTCAGTCCACTAACTAAAATCCGTGCCTCCATGGATGAGTGCTCACCTAGGCATAATGGTGCACACGTAGAATCCCAGGACCTGAGAGGCTGAGGCAGGAGAATCTGAAGTTTCAAGCTAGTTCAGGCTACACAGGGACACCAAACCTTAGTAACAATAACAGAGGCTGCGCAGGAAGAATTAAGGGAGTGTCTTTACACACAAGGAAGGAAAGCGCTGACCACTGAGCTCACTTCAGAGTGGCACAAAGCTCAGATCTGTATATGTTACTTAAAAATTATGGCTTTATACAAAAAACGTTTTGTTTTCTCAATTATTCCTTTTTTAGCTATATGAATTTCAAATAGCCCACTTGATTTTAAACAAGAAAAGTTTTTCATAATTTTTAACAACGTGTGATGGTACTTGACCCAGAACGATTAGCTCTCTGAGGGTGAGTAACTATGACCTATGTGCCATTGACCCTGTATAAAAATGAGCAGGACTCATAACTATCAAAATGCAGTTGGGAGTGGAAAATGTCCTTTGGAAGTTGCTAGAAGAAAGAAGACACAATTTTGAGGTATCATTGCTGCCTTAAAACGTCACTAAGATTTGGATTTAAAAAGTAAGAAAATTTTCTTGGTGAGTTTTTAAAAAGAGCAACACTTTTTCTCTCCTCGTGAGGCTGGTTTTGAATGGTCTCGTCTCAGCCAGGGTCCTGTCGGTCATCCCTGAGCTCCTCCATCTGTCTGTCCATCCATCAGCCTGTCGTGTGGGGGTTTTTGTCAGCTCCTCAGTGTTAGGTCTTGTTATACCAATTCATGGAGCGTTTCACGGCTTTCACCCAGTTCTCCATGTTTACTTCATATTCCTGCCACTTCTTCTGGGGCTTGAAAACCATTTCGCTCTGCCGCAGCTTCTGCAGCTCTTCCTTGTCAGTCCAAAATCCTACAGATGGGGAAAAAAGAATCTCAGAAATTAAGGCAAATAACGAGTTCAGGAGACATATCCACAGTTTATGTGAGTTGTGCCAAGAAGAACAATTAGTATGGGAAAATGTAGATCAGAACACTTGTGGCTTTGGAAATGCATACACGACCAAATGGATACACTAGCGAATAGATACACCACGATTTTAAAAAATATTTTGCTTTTGAACTCTTAGCTTTATTTTTGAATGGCATTATATAACTTTTTGTTTGTACTGGGATTGAACAGAGAGCCTCACACACAACAGGCAAGTGTTCTCCCACCTCCCCCCCCAATTACACACACACACACACACACACACACATACACAAAACCCTCCTTCAGCTTTTTATTTTGTGACAGCATCTCACTAAATTACTCAGGCTGGCTTTGAACTTATGATCCTCCTGCCTCAGCCTCACCAGTGCAGGGAATGCAGGTATGAGCTACCACAAACAACTTGTATTTTCCTTTTATACAACAAAAATAAATGAAGATAAGATTGCCTTGAGGTAACTGGCAACTCAAATAGAATAATAACTTTATCTAAAATAAAGTTATTATAAGAATAGTAACTTCATCTAAAAGCCCAAAATGAGAAATGAATGTAATTTTGAAACAACAGTGTTTAATATTAAGTTATTTAAATTCTAATCCAAGATAAAATTATAGTTCTAGCATATATTGTTTTGCTGAAAAGAGGATTTTTAATTCATAATAAAAAGTGACAAAAGAAGCCAGGCGGTGGTGGTACACTGGTGGCACACGCCTTTAATCCCAGCACTCGGGAGGCAGAGCCTGGTCTACAGATCGAGATCCAGGAATGGCTCCAAAGCTATAAAGAGAAACCCTGTCTTGAAAAACAACAACAACAACAACAAAACCAAAACAAACAAACAAACAAACAAACAAAAGAACACATTTGTAACTGTATTATAGCCTCAAATGCTAAGATGTCTTGTCAGGAAGCTACTACTTAAGTACTCATTCATTTATTTGTTTATTTTGGATTTTCAAGACAAGGTTTCTCTGTACAGCCCTGGCTGTCCTAGATCACACTCTGTAGACCAGGCTAGCCTCAAACTCAGAGATTTGTCTTGCCCACTCCCCAGAGCTGGGATTAAAGATGTGTGCCAATATACCAGGCTCAACTTCAAGTATTTCTTTCTTTCTTTTTTTTCTTCTTCTTCTTCTCCTCCTCCTCCCTTTTTTTGTGGTTTTTCGAGACAGGGTTTCTCTGTGTAGTTTTGGTGTCTGTCCTGGAACTTGCTCTGTAGACCAGGCTGGCCTCGAACTCACAGAGATCCGCCTGCCTCTGCCTCCCGAGTGCTGGGATTAAAGGTGTGCGCCACCACTGCCTGGCTCATAAAGGGTTTTAAACAACTACTAATAGTTTTCATTTTTATATCAGTAAATAAATCTAGTCATGAAAATGAATGTTTTGTGTGTTTGGTAACTCATTTAATACCAGCCCTGAGAGGCTGAGACAAAAGGATTTTGAGTTTGAGGTCAGCCTAGATTACATGGCAAGATTGCCTATAGAGTAAATAAATAATATATATTTTTTAAAACTTTTATTTCTGGAACTTATTATTTATATTTAGGGTAAACATGTATAAGTGTGTCATTTTACTAAATATGTGTAGAACAGACCAGTTTCTAGGTAAATTTAGAAAACACAGAGGCTATCCATACTCTATATATTTCTAAGAGAGAAGCAAAAGTTTGGAATTAAATATAGATTTAATGACGTAGATAAAGCTCAAACCTCTTGAGTGTATTAATCAGAGTATTTGTGTGTCTTTGTGTGTGTGTGTGCATGTGTATTTATGTGTATGTGTCTCTGTGTGTGCATCTGTGTGTCTTTGTGTTTATGTATTTGTATCTTTGAGTGTGTGTATTTGTGTGTATTTATGTGTGTGTGTGTCTTATTTTTTTATTTTTTAGGTTTTTTTCTAGACAGAGTTTCTCGTAGCTTTGGAGACTGTCCTGGAACTCACTCTAGCCCAGGCTGGCCTCGAACTCACAGAGATCCACCTGGATTTGCCTCCCAAGTGCTGGGATTAAAGGTGTGCACCATCACTGCCCAGCATGTGTGTGCCTTTGTGTGTGTGTATCTGTGTGTCTTTGTGTGTGTGTGTGTGTGTGTATTTATGTGTGTGTGTCTTTGTGTGTATCTGTGTGTATTTATGTGTCTTAGTGTGTATCTGTGTGTCTTTGTGTGTATCTGTGTGTATCTGTGTGTATTTATGTCTTTGTGTGTGTGTGTGTGTGTGTGTGTGTGTGTGTGTGTGTGTGTGTGTGCTTACACGCATGTGCATCTCTGTGCCTGGGTCTCACTGTGGAGCCCAGCAGCACCCCTCTTTCCCTCCACAGCAGTGCTTTCCTTTGGAAAAGTCTCTTCATCTCACAGCCTCTTGTCTCTGGAACCACCCACTTCTCACTCTCCCCCACCCTGCTCTGTTAGTCGCCAGGCCACAGCTGCCTCTTCCGGAACTTCTACCCCAGTGGCTTCCCACCATCAGTCTCCGCTGGGTTTATCACAGATCTGACTCGGGCTGCATCTGCCTGATCCCACCAGAGATCAGGGACCGTGGCTTTCATTTCTTGATTCCCAGCAGTGACTGTCTTATAGAAGACACTCAACAAAAGCTGTAAGTAAAGGAACGGCCGATTTCCAAAACGACAATGGGTCTAGGGGCAAACACCCTCAAACTCTACACTGCAATGCATCTGATCTCTTTTTAACAATGTCACAGCTTCTGGGCCTCAAGGTTCACCCCAGGCGCTATCTGGTAACCCTTGCCTGCTTCAGGAGTATCCTGTTAGGTTGGGTTAGCTACAATTTCCTCTCAGCACTAACATTTCCTTTCAGTTCATTTTCACCTCTTGGTCCTGACCCTGCCCTCTGGCTCTACATTTTCACTTTTCCTTGTAGTGTCCACCACAAGGGGTAACTATGGTGGTTTCCACACTTCAAGAGACCCCCCTGAACAACACCCATCTTAAGGTTCTTTTCTTTAATATTGTACACTGAGAAAGTTCATCCTAAGACCATCCCTTGCTGGAGACCAAAGCAGCTGACCCTGAAATGCCCTCACTTCACAGTTCTTCTAGGTAGTAAAGTTAGGACGGTTAGGCTGACACACCCAAGGGGGTCAGAGGACAACTGGTGAGCCAGAAGTCTATGTACAATCCCCTGTGTGCATACACACGCCTTCCGGACGCTCTCTCTAGTTCTGTGACTGCAGAGGAGCAGTGCTATTGCAGAAACAGCTCCCAAGAAAGCGCTCACTTTTACAAAGACCACACGTACCAACAGCAAGGCCAGCCAGGGTGGCCGCGCCCAAGCAGGACATGTCGAAGTGGGCTGGTCTGTCTATCCTCTCATTAATCAAGTCTGAAGTCATCTGCATAACAAAACCGTTGTTACAGACTCCTCCGTCTGCCCTGTGGGAAGCAAGATAGGGCAGGTGAGCAACTGGAAGAGCATGAACTGTTTTTATGTGGGTTACCACAGTATGAAGTTAGCGTCTGGGGGAGCCACGCCAGGGCTTTACAGGTACTAAGTAAGCAGGTACCACTGAGCTGCGTCTCCAACCCATCCACGCTTTTATTAGTATAGTAGGAAGGTTTTTGTTTGGTTTTGGTTTTTCTGGTCCTGGAACTCGCTTTGTAGACCAGGCACATTTTTATTATTGCCTAGCACTGAACTTATGACAAGATCTTTACAACAGAAACAGAAAATGAAGCCCAGGTTGGCCTGTACTCAGTAGCACAAACTCCTGATTCTCCTGTCCCTGACTCCCAAGTGACTCCAGGTCCTCCTGTCCCTGCCTCAGAGTGCTGGGATCTGGCATATGCCATCAGGACTGGTTTATAGGATCTTACTGAGTAATCTTCAAAATTTTCCTTTTTATTCTTAATTAAATTTGCTCGTTGAGAATCTCACACATGTACATAATTCATACTAACTACGTCACCCCAACCCTCTCCCATCTCTCCACTATCTGTCTATCCACCCCTCCCTACAATCTTTCTTCTCATGTTCATGTCTATTAGTCTTATTCTGTGACCCACTGAGTTTAACCGGGGCCATCTGTGTGGCCATGGCTCTGGAGCTGTCTGTCTGTTGGTGTGTGGTGGACTCAGTGTGTGTGCAACTCAAGTCACCAATGTCCCTTTCCTGGTAAATACTATCCTTTATCCAGGTCACCGCTTTTACATCTCTCATTTGTTTTGGTACCAGTTCAAAATTATGACAAGTAAAATAAGGTAAAACAATTTGATGCTTCCACACCAAAAAGATAGCTACAACACAATAGTGAAATGTTAATGATTTCTATATAATATACATACTTGACAGGATCCCCTGAAATTTCATATTGTGTTACAGTCTCAATAATCCAAAACTAGCATTTTTCTCTCCACATCGCTATGACCAACAATTTTATTGCTGAAGAAGTAGACATAAGCTTTGGAAGTCAAGAAAAAATGAAGATAAATAACAGCTATTGCTTTTTTTTTTTCTTAATTTCTACTTTGATTGTTTCGTAGTGCCGGGGCTGAAAACCATGAGAATGTTCAATCACTGAACTAACTCATCAGGCTGATTTTGTAGCTCCTAACTGGACCTGTTATAAACAAGACTTACATACCGGATATTCGTGACCGGGATCCGGATTTCCTTCTGCATCATGTCGTATAACTGTTTGTTCCTAGTCAAAGACAAGATAGCGATTGAGAGCGTACTCACGTCATAATTCTGTATTTCACTCTGAAGTTTCAAACAAATATCAACTACGGTTTTATTTACTTAACTTGATAAAAGATGCAAAAGAAACTACTGAAGAAATACTGGCCAACTGGACACCGATAAACCTGACGTGCATCCTCCCGTGGTCCACCTTCATGTACAATAGTGCAATCTTTACTCGACAACTAGGTTTAAATTATTGCCAGTCTATAAAGGAGCATTTCAAGTGAGTATCTATTTAGTTGGTAGCCTTTACTATGATATACTCAAACAACATGTAAATGTACCAAATGTATCGTTTTGTATTCATAAAAAATTACTTTAAACAAAACAAACACTCCTTATTTATGACAATTTAATCATTTTCTGAAGATTTATTTAAGTGTATGGGAATTTTGCCTGCAGCTGAGTATGTGCACAATGCAAGCGAAGTGTCTGGGAGAGCCTCTGATGAGGAGGACATCAGATCCCCGGAACTGCAGTTAGAGATGGTCCCTGAGCTGCATTTGGGTCCTGGGAATCAAACCTGGATCCTGTGCAAGAGCAACCAGTGCTCTTACCCACTGAGATAGCCTACCAGTTCCCAGTTATTATTATATATTTTTTGTGAAACAGAGTCTCACCTTGTCAGTATTGCCTTGAACTCCTTCCCTGTGTAGCTAAGGCTGTCCCATACCTCCTGATCCTATTGCTTTTGCATCCCAAGGTTTCAGGATTATAGGCATGTGACCTCACACCTGCTGACAGTTCCTTTTTATAAATTTCTTTTTTGAAGACAAGATTTCATTATGTATCCCTGGCTGGCCTAGAATTCACTCTGTAGACCAGGTTGGCCTCAAACTCACAGAGATCCACCTGCCTCTGCCTCCCGAGTACTAGTTACTTTTCACATTGCAATGATAAAATAAGTAACAAAAAGAACCTTAAGGAAGGAAGGGGTAATGTACGGTCACAGTTGGAGGGCACAATCCATCATGACAGGAAGCTTGGGCAGTGGAGGTGTGAGGCAACTCCACAGTCAGGAAGCAGAGAGAAGTGCATACTGGCTCAGTTCAGTTAGAGAAGGTCTCCCTACTTTAGTTAACCTGCTCTGAGACATCCTCGTACACATGCCCAGAGATCGGTCTCCTGTGAGATTCTACATCATTTTAAGTTGACAATCGGTATTTACCATACACTACACTTGTCCAATATTCAAGAGACCAGGGAAACATACATAAAGAATAAATCTTATTATTCAGTCTTTGGGTGTAACAGACTGTTGTTAGTTTGAATTCTCCCTTTGAGAATTAGAGAGACAAAATTCAGACCCTCACATGCTCAAAGTACAAGCTCTATTCTGGGCTAAAGTCCCAGCCTGGGCTATCTTAAAAAATCATTCCGTTTTTAGGTATCAAATCTAAGTGGTACTGGTATTATCAAATAGAGCCACAAGAACAAATTATATCATGTATACCAGATACTGAATTGAGGGGCCAGAGAGGTGGCTCAGTGGTTAAAAAACTTGCTGATCTTCCAGGAGACCTGGATTCAAGTCCCAGGACCCAAATGGAGGCTCACAATAGTTTGTAAGTCCGGTTCCAGGGGAATCTGACACCCTCTTCTGGCTTCTGTAGGCACCAGGAATGTATATGATGCATAGACAGAGATTAAGACAGGACATCCATGCACATAAAATAAAATTTAGATTTTCTAAAAAAATAAAATAAAAATTTAAAACCATGCACACACACACTACATTGAAGGCATAAGTTTAATGATTTAATTAAAATTAGGAGTGTCAGCAAGGTGGCCCAGCAGGTAAAGGTCCTTGCCACCGACCCTGGGGACCTCAGTGAGGTTCCTAGAAGCCATAGAAAGGTGGAAGGAGAGAGCTGACTCCACAGCGTTAGTTGTCTTTTGGCCTCCACATGTGTGCTATGGTGCACACACACATCTACCCAAACACACAAACAAATAATAAGTCATAAAATAAACATTCTGAAATAAACAAAATGAAGTAAAGTCTCTCTTTCATTTTATAAAATGAAGTTGCTCACAGGTGTAATTTCAGTACTAGGTACCCCAAACGAGAGGATTGCCATGATTTTGAAGCCAGCCTGGGCTGCAAGAAGAGTTCCAGGCTAGCCTGAACAGTATGATACCCTGTCTCAAAAAAACAAAAACAAAAACAAACAAACAAAAAAAGAAACTATCAAGAGCTGGAGGGATGGCTCAGTGTTGAAGAGCACTGACTGCTCTTGCAGAGGATCTGGGTTCAGTTCCCAGCACCCACATAGCAGCTCATATCTGTCTGTAACTCCAATTCCAGGGGATCTGACAGATGTTCTGGCCTCTGAGGACTTCTACATGAATGCAGCACATATCATACATATATTCAAGTGCTTCACATATACACACAAAATTAAAGAAATACATATATTTGTAAAGAATCCTTCCACCAGAAAAGAAGATTTCAGTTTGGCAACAAATCTAAAGGAAATGACATAGTACGAAGGCAGCAGAGGGAGTTCCGGCACCTTTTACCTGAAAGCTATTGACTCCAGGATTGCTCGGACGAGATGGTATTTACTGGTGGAATGTTTCAATCCCATAAAAGAGGCACACGCACAGGGATCATTTAATGGGGCCTGAAGTAAGAGACAAAAAGAACATCATTTACGTTTTAAATTACATCTACAGGCTCGATGTATATCATAAAACACAGCCAAGCTAGAAGATGTTCATTTTAATAATTTAAAGTAAATTACAATCCAAAGAGCTGATTAAACAAGGTAACTATTTATTTTATTTATTTTGAGGCACAGTCTCACCATGTAGCCCCAACTGTCCTGGAACTCATTATGTAGACTAGGCTATCCTCAAACTGACAGAAACCCACCTGCTTCTGCCTCCCCAGTGCTGAGATCAAAGGTGTGTGCCAACATACTTGGCGGTTGTCCTTTGGTAGGGTTCTCATACAGGCCAATCTGGTCTTGATTCACCATGTAGGCAAAGCCAGCCTTGAACCCCTGATCCTGCTTCCGCCTTACAAATGCTGAGTTTACAGGCTTGAGCCACCACCTTGAGATTTTCAGATTTTTTTTTTAATTTTTATGTATGGCTTATGTTCTTGTGGATATATGCCACATGTGCAGGTAGCTGTAAACGCCAGAAGGGGGCACTAGATCCCCTGGAGCTGGAGTTACAGACTGTGGTGAACTGGGAAGTAACTACTGGACCTTTGGAAGAGCAGCAAGCTGAATCCCCACACTCGCCCCTTTTAAATTGTAGAGTCTATTATTTCAGAGATATGTGAGGTGATGAGAGGTCATAGAGATGCTGTCAAAACAAACACTATAAAATCCTCAGCACAGTTTTCCCTCAATCCTACAGGCATGCACCACCACACCCTGCAATATTGGAGATCAAGTCAGGACTTAATGTATTCTAGACAAGTGCTTTATTAATAGAGCTACATTTGACTTCCCCAGCCCTGAAAAAAATTATTTACAGGAGTTGCGTTTTTTTTTTTTTTGTTTGTTTTGTTTTTTTTGTTTTTTTGTTTTTTTTGAGACAGGGTTTCTCTGTGTAGCCCTGGCTGTCCTGGATCTCGGCTCTGTAGACCAGGCTGGCTTCGAACTCACAGAAGTGCTGGGATTAAAGGCATGTGCAACCACTGCTCAGTTAATTTTGTTCTTAATTCTTTTTTTTTTTGATATAGCTATTTATTATAAGTGCTAGAGATGGTTGAGAGCCACCATGTGGTTGCTGGGAGTTGAACTCAGGACCTCTGGAAGAACAGTCAGAGGTCTTAACCACTGAGCCATCTCTCCAGCCCTGTTCTTAATTCTATACTGAAAACTTTTCCTAAGTCTTTGTGATCACATTCTAAGTCAGAGGCAAGCACAACTCTGTTAATTAAATACAAAGTTAATTATTTCAAAGCCAGGCCTTTTACTGGGTTCACTTGTGATCAGGCAAAGTAACCAATACTCTACCATAAAAGTTGAAAAGAAAGGTTGATTTTTGGAAAAAAGCTAAGGAAACCTATAGATACACTTCAGAACATATACACAGGTATGTGTGTGTCCCATGATGTCATTATCCTTTTCTCTTTCTCTCCTTTTTGTTTTCTTTTGAGAAAGGGCCTCTCTATGTCATCCTGGCTGGCCTTGAGTTTACAGAGGTCTTCCTGCCTCTGCCTCTAAAGTGCTGGTGCTGGGATTAAAGTCGTGCACCACCAGGGCCAGTGACATCATTTTTCTAATTCTCAAGAGTATACGGTCTTTAAAGAATACCCATTTGCTGATACACACTGCCCAACAACTCCACAGTGCCTATTTATAACACAACCCTAGGCCATATTAAAAGTTCTCTGACTAACAGCTAACTTTTAGGTCCCACTTCAATAGAGCTGAAAGTTGACAGCAGCTGAATTCTGCCAGTGCAGCCGAACCATCAGGGGCTCAGTTAGAGAACACGGCTCGCTTACAGCATTTGTGCTCACGCAGCATAGTTTCTCCGTCCTAGAATGCACCTTTCATGTCAGTTCTGGTTATCCGTTCAGGTAACAGAGCCACAGCCATGTAATTCGGGGTGTGGCTGGAGGAGAAACTGTTTGCAAGTGCTGTAACTTTTTAAAAGAATACCTGTAATCCATTAAATGATGGAACAAAATAGACCCCTTCAGAATCTTCCAGACTCAGGGCCATTTTTTCAGTCTCAGCAGCATCTGTGAAAAGATCTGCAAAAACACAACACATGAACAACAATAAAACCCTAAAACAAAAGGAAGGGGTTGGGGAAGTTAGAGGGTCCCCACAAATTACGACCAGAATGTAAAAGCTCTTCATTTAAAAGGGTCAACACAAAAGGCATTCATCCTGTCTGACCTGTCACTGTGCGAAGGTTTACAGCAAAGGTTTACACAAGGGAGACGCTCCTAAAGGTCCTTTTAGATAAGTTCTGTACTTAGCAGGCCTTACTTTTTTCATTAAAGGTACTTGGGTAAGTTGAAGAATCCATGCTATGGGTTTTGTCTGTCTGTTTGTTGTTGTCGTTAATGTACATTATTCCCAACTGGACTTGGTGATGTATATCTGTAATCTTAGCATGGAAAGCTGAGGCAGGAGAACCCCCGTAGATTCAAGGCTAGCCTGGGCTACACAGGAAGATCCTGTCTCAAAAGCAACAAACAAAAGATTATTTTCCTTTGGCTGGCAGTATAGCTCAGTGGTACAGTGAGTGGGTACCTCAGTGTGTTTAATATGTAGTAGGCTACGGGTTCGAGTCTCAGCACACACACACAAAACCAACAACAAAAAAGATTCACAGATAAGAGACAGCCCAGTTTTTTTGACACAGGAATCCTCTATCCTATACAAGCTTATTTTACTTGAGCCGATGGGATCCACTTAATCAAGTGAAAAAAACTTCTCATTTAGTGAGTTCAATAAGGAGCAGTAATAGACTAAAGGTCACTCCTTTACAAAACAAGCAAACGAAAGCAATCGGCCTTCATTCATTCATGTTTTTACTGAGGTGTATGACATATGGAGGAAAATGTCCAAATTCAGGAGACTGAGACAGGAGGATTGAGAGTTCAGGGCATCTTCAGCTATATATCAAATTCAAAGCCAGCCAGGGCTACAAAAGTCCCTGGGGGGAGGGGGGGGAGAAAAGGAGAACACACAAGTATAAGGCACAGAGCTTTAATCCCAGCAGAGGCAGGCAGGTCTCTGAATTCAAGGATAGCCTGGTCTACAGAGTGAGTTCTGGGACAACCAAGGCTAGACAGACAGAGAGAAGCCTTGTTAAAAAAAAGTACAAGATTGATCAAATTCTTTTGTCTAGTGCTGTGGACAAAAGACCCAGGGTCAGCCGGGCGGTGGTGGCACACGCCTTTAATCCCAGCACTTGGGAGGCAGAGCCAGGCGGATCTCCGTGAGTTCGAGGCCAGCCTGGGCTACCAAGTGAGTTCCAGGAGAGGCGCAAAGCTACACAGAGAAACCCTGTCTCGAAAAACCAAAAAAAAAAAAGACCCAGGGTCTTGTGCATGGTAAGCTGCTGTGGAATAATACTTCTGTTCACTGTGAAGATGTGTTGCTCTCGTTGTTAATAAAAAGCTGATTGGCCAATGGCTAGGAAGGATTTTCTGGACAGAGAGAATGCTGGGAAGAAGGGCGGAGTCTGAGGAGATACCATGAGACTCAGAGCAAGCAGGATGGGAAGTAAGTACATGAGGTAACAAGCCTTGGAAAAGCACACAGATTAATAGAAATGGGTTCATTTAAGTTATAAGAGCTACCTAAAAACAAGCCTAAGCTATTGGCTGAGCATTTATAATTAATATCAAGTCCCTGTGTGGTTATTCGCGGAGCGGCTGGCGGGACAGAAAAGTGGCGTACAGTAAGCAAGCACCGACTCACTGAGGTACACCCCAGCCTCCACAAGAGCTTGCACAGTATAAACACACCTAGGGGACCCACACCTAGATGGAGACAAATCTCTCTTGTTTAACACCGTGCCTATGAGAGGCACTCATCTCACCACAGGTGTTTGTAATCTACTTATTCTCACATGACACAAAATTTCAGTGTGAGATTACATAACTCACAAGTCCATTCGATGAGAATATGGGGAGTTTCTGGCGTTTGGCCATGCTGAACGGTTGTGTGCACTCTTTTCAGTGGAAGTGACTGACATTTTTCTGTTTATTAATGCCAATGAATGAATAGCTAATTAAAGGAGCTTCACATTTACAACTAGCTTTGGCAAGACAGCTGAACAACTATTTAAAGTGGTTGTATTAGTTTAAGATTCCTCCTGGTTGGCTCAAGATTTCCAGTGACTTCATCTTCTTCCCAGTAATTATCATCACCATTTTTTCATTTTAGCTATTTTGGTGGTTTCCATGACAGTCTGAGTCTCACTTCCCTTGATCCTCTGTGAACAATGCAGGCTTTTTTGTTTTTTTAAACAGGGTCTCATGTAGCCCAGGCTGCCCTAAAACTTGGTATGTAGCCAAGGATGGTCTTGAATAACTACTCATCCTGCTTCGATTCCCCATCTACTGGGATTACAACCATGTACTATTATACTGTTTTGTTTTAGTTTGAGATACATAGTTTCATGTAGCCCAGGTTGGCCTAGAACTCTCCTGTGATACCAGGGATGACCCTGAATCCCTGACTTCCTGCTTCTAACTCTCCACTCCTGGGATCACAGGCACACACTACCATACTCAATTTATGCAGTTCTGGGGTGAACCTTAGGTAAATGCTCTACCAACTGAGCTACACTGCCTGTCTGAAGTAACTTTTAAATGAGAAAGGGGCAGAGTTTATGTGAAAAAGCTCAGTCATCCGTCAAGTATCATGCTGTCATTTCAGCCCTTAACTGAAGTGGCTTTATTTCACTTTTAGGTTTGGTACACTAAGAAGAGCTGGTTCGTTACACTAAAGAAAGACAATGTTGAAACAAGTTCATAAAAGCCATTTGCAGTTGAGTATGCAGCCCAGTGGTATAGTGCCCCACCGAGAACATGCAAGGTTTGCTAACACTGCAATCAGTCCGTCAGTAGAACACCTACAAACTTTACTCAATATGACAGGTATCAGATCTAGTAAGTCAAAACATCCAAATGACAAATCCAAATACTTCTGGTATTTCAAAACCACATGTTTAAAGAAATTTACTTGGGGGCTGGAGAGATGGCTCAGCAGTTAAGAGCACTGACTGTTCTTCCAGAGGATCTGGGTTCAATTCCCAGCACCCACATGGTGGCTCACAACCACCTGTAATGAGATCTGGTACCCTCTTCTGGCTTGCAAGGACACGTTCAGGCAGAACACTGCATACATAATAAATAAATAAATCTTTAAAAAAAAAAGAAATTTACTTGGGATGGAGGCAGGGGAACTAAGGTCATTCCCAGCTACAGAGTAAGTTCAAGATCAGCCTAGGCTACATAAGACCCTTTCTCAACCTCTCAACTCCCCTAAATCTAACCTTCAGAAAAATGAGGCGGTAAAATGGTTTAGCAGGTAAGCCCACCTGCTACCAAGTCTGATGACCTGAGTTTGGTCCCCAGAAGCCACACAGTGGAAAGAGAGAACCAACTCTCCCATGGTGTCCTCTTCCTCCACTGCGGCGTGTTAGCATTCCTGCACACATACAATAAATAAATAAGTGGAAAAACACATACCTAATAGCTGGACATGGTGGTCCATGCCCAAAATCCTAGCATTTAGGAGGTAAAGACAAGGGACCCAGGAGTCCAAGGCCAGCTTCAACTACGGAGAAAATTGAAGGATAACCTGGACTACAAAAGAATTGTATCCAAAAAAAAGGATCATTTTTAATTTTTATAATCAAGATAAGACATGCAAAATCAAAACTAGACAGCTGGCTGGGTATTTTAATTCCAGCACTAGAGAACTCACTCTCTGTGTGTTCAAGGCCAGTCTTGGCAACATGGTGAGACCCCCGTCTTAAAAAACAAAACCATAAAACCCTAGACAGCTAGCCGCATAGGCGACAAAAAAGCAGAATAAAAAGGTGCTCACTTAGTCACATTCTTCGCGGCTTGTTCCACTCTTGCTTGAAGAATTTCTCTAAATAATCTTGAACTGTCCTCCACTGGGCTTTCTGGTGAAGCTTTCCCATTAAGCAGCCTCCACACTCTGCTCTGTGTCTTCCACCGAATGCATTTAAGAATTCTGCGTGGAATTCGAGGCAAAGCTATCTGTGGACTCTGAGAACAGGCTGCAGGCAGGTGGGAAGACACAAAGAGCCACCAGACTGCCAGTCAGTTTCCTGTCTTATTTTCTCTGGTGTCTCCTGGCCTAGACCAGGACAGTCTGAAACTATCAAGAGCTTCTAGCATGGCAAGCAGGAGATGATAGGGGTTCTCTTGGTCATGTTGGGGAGCTCTACTTTTCACTCTTAGAGATTTTTTTTTCCTTTTTCTCAGGTCCAACCTCCTATGGTAACAGCAACCGCAATCTCTTACAGCCCAGAGAGTCTGAGTACAGGGGAGGGCAGGGCACACCCACCCCAGGCAGCCCTATGTCTGGAACACACACAGCAGCAATCTTAACAAAAATTCAGGATGAGGGCTGGGGAGATGGCTCGGTGGGTAAGTGTGCTAGCTCTGCCCGCATGGGGACCCAAGTTCAAATACGCTGGACCCATATAAAAACTGGCCCTGGTTTCACATGCCTGTAACTCTAGCATTGTGGGGGCGGGGCTCACTGAGCAGCCACCCTAGCTAAACGGGTGAGCTCTGCCTTCAGAGAAGAGACCCTGCCTTAAAGAAATAAACCAGGGCTGGAGAGATGGCTCAGCAGTCAAGGGCACACTGGCTGCTCTTCCAGAGGCCCCAGGTTTGATGCCCAGCACCCACGTCATGGCTGACAACCATCTGTATTTTTAGTTCCAGGGCATCCATTGCCTCTTCTGGCCTCAGAGGACACCAGGCATGCACATGATGCGCAGATGTACACGCAAGCAAAACATTCACACAGATTAAATAAGCAAATCTTTTTTTTTTTTTTTTAATTAGGAGAAGAAATAAAAGCAAGACAGAAGGACATACTTGAAGTTCTCGCTGGCCTCAGCACACACACACAAGTATGTAACACACACACACACACACTAAAAAAATTAAAATTTTTTTTTTTAAACAAGACAGGGTCTTACTATGTAACCCTGGCTATCCTGGAACTCACTATGTAGACCAGG